GGACGGGGGAGGGCAGAGACATGAAGGAGCTGGGGCCGGCGGGGGTGGCTGGCTCAGGAAACCCCCGGTGGTCTCCTCCCCGTCCCCCCCGCCCTCGTACATCTGGGCCACAGGAGCTGCGGCCCCCTCCCTGCCCCCCCACCCCCTCGTCGGTGGGGTGGGGTAGACACACTCCCAACACCCAGCCCTTCCCGGAAAGGCTCCTCTCTGGGGGAGGCGGGAGGGCACCGTTGGGGTGTGAAAGTCGTTAGCAGAGTGAGGCACAGGGTGCGCCTGTGGGTGCAAGAGGTGCCTGAGCGTGCACACCGGGGCTGGCCACGGAAGCCCCCCCCCCACCTCCCACACACACACACCTTCTCCAGCAGGCCGGCGTCCTGGGGCACGTCCAGCTCTTCCAGGGCCTCCTCTGCCCCTGACCGTTTTTTTGGGAAGTGGATGACAGCTGCTCCTACAAAGCCAGGGACAGCTGGGTGGTTGGGGACAGCTGGATGGGGTTAGCGTCTCCCTGCTTCCCTGGCTGCCCAGGCCCCCAGGCCGTACTCCAGGCAGCTGGCTGTTCTGCCTGCAGCCTGAGTGGGTAATTGTCTGGGCTAGGCTTTCAGAGCTGGGACAGGTGTGGGGGCTCAAGCCCATCCCACTGCCACCTGAGTCTCCTATATCCCAATCTGATGGATGTACCTGGAGACAGGATCCCTCCCATCCGCTGAAACACACTAGGGCCAAGTGGGCAAGAAATTGGGCAGCTCTCTGCTCTTGGCTTCCCACTCTTGGCACAGAAGATGTCCCAGGGTTCCTGACAACTAGAGAAAGGGACAGTGAGACAGGAACAGATGTGAGTGGAGCTAGACCTCGATCTGTCCACCACCACCTGCCCCCAGGCCTCCTTCCACCCCGGGCGGGAGGGTGCTGTGCTACAGCCACCTGCCCCCTCGCTTTAGCCCTGAGCAGGTGCAGGGGAAGAGAAGGGGCAGGCCAGCTGTTGTCATCCTGCTCCTGGCTCTCTGCCCAAGTAGAAAGGGGGAGCAATGAAACACCCACCCCAGAGTCATTTTCTACTCCCACAGGACAGGACAGAGGTACTTAGCAGGACCAAGACTGGTTTGGCCTGCCAGCCCAACTGGCCTGACCATGTCCTCCAATCTGGGTCTCTTTTTTTCTGAGAAGGGGGTGGCTGTGAGGCTTGGACCCCTCCTGGCACAGGACTTCTACATGGCTTGCTCTAAGCTTCCGGGGCAGGTGGGGCTCAGGCCCTGATTCTACCCCCGGAGCTTCTATCTGGAAGGGTACAGGCTGCTTTACAACATAAGCAGATCTGTGCAGTATTAGGCAACAAACCAGAGATCCTTTTTGGAGGTCAGCCCCCCTGCAAAGGAGAAGGGCCTTTGGTGTGCCCCATCCCCTCCTGCCACCCCAGGGGTCCCTGTGGCACACAGGAGCCTGGACAGTCCCTCATGGCTGCGCTCCTGAAATCCTCGGATCTGTCAGAATTCCTGGGATCTCAGTCATTCCCACCGAGTCTAAGTGGGGATCTAAGATCCAGCCCTTCAATAAGCTCCCAAGACATGCTAGAGCAGCGGTCCTCAACCTGTGGGTCGCGACCTCTTAGGGAGTCAAAGGACCCTTTCACAGGGGTCACCTAAATACATCCTGCATCTCAGATATTTACGATTCATAACAGGAGCAAAATTACAGTTATGAAGTAGCACCGAAAATAATTTTATGGTTGGGGGTCACCACATCATGAGGAACTGTATTAAAGGGTCGGGGCATTAGGAAGGTTGAGAACCACTGTGCTAGAGGCTTGGAGAAGCCCTGCCAAAGGGGATAGAGGCAGGATGTATTTTTCATGTTGCTGCCCTACTTCCATGCCTCCCAGAGCCAAAGATTTTTCTGCCTGCTCTTCTCCCGTGCTCAGGGCCAGAGCCCGTCACCAAAGGAGGCATGGGGCTGAGTGACCACACCTCCCAGTGGGGGCAAGGCCCAGTTAAGCTAAATTCCAAGACAGGGTCTTGCTCTGCCTATGCAGTGCCCAGCACTTAGCATGTGCTCAGTAAATATTTATGGACTGAAGGAGGTAAACTTTGCAAAACTCATAGGAAGGTTTCTTCCTTTGTCTGTCCCAGCTAAGAGCATGTTAGCAGGACCTCGAAGATGCCAGGGCCTATGCAGCAGAGGACCGGGCATTGGAGACCCTCAGCCAGTATTTCCCAAATGAACCCAGGGCTGAGTAGATGCAATCAGTGCCTTTCGGGTTGACATTCACAGGCTGGAACAAGCTAGAGCCATCAGAGAGTCAAGGCAAGGAGGGCAGGGGCACCCATTCCTAGAGGGCCCCTCCCCACCCCAGGCCTGAAGACCCCAGGCCGGAGGAGCTGGGTAAGAGGCGAGGCAGGGAGTGGGACTGCGCCATTGTTTATTAGAAGTCGGGTTCGGTGTGTGCTCTAGACAGATTACAGAATACCTGCGCCGTGAGAACAGGAAGTCCGCGATTCATACAAAGTGCTCACTACAGGAAGTTGCTGTGTCAAAATCCAGGCAAGGACCCAACTCAGGGCAGCCCCTCTTCCCCCGCTGACCTCAACAAGGGCTGTGCTATGGTTTTTTATTTAATTATTTTTTATTTCTCTTTATTATTATTAATATTATTATTATTTGCTTTTGCTGTGGTCACTATTATTGGCAAAGTTCCTTCTGTTCTTTCCTGGACATGGGGTTCCTGTCTGTCAGGTTCCACTCTGAGGCTGAAGGTGCCAAAAGCTGCTTGAGAAGTGGCCTTTGAACTCCGTCTGGGAGGATGGTGAGAAGAAGCAGGAGAAATCATTCTTGGTTTAAAAAAAATTAAAAAACAAAACCCCCACAATCTACAGGTCATTTCTTACTCAGTCAGTGATCAAACTGCCCAAAAGAAAAACAAGAGGAGAATCAGGCCAGTGGGCACTGGTCCTTCCTCCCAGGGCTAGGTGAGGAGGGTTGCCCCACCCCTCCAGGCTTTAGGGAAAGCTGAGGCGCTTTCCCAACTCCAGGGCCACCTGCGGCCCCAGCGCAGCCCAGCTCCCACTGTCACTCCACGTCCAGAGATTCGTAATAAAAAAAATCAAAAACAAAGCCCAAAACAAAATCCAAAAGGACAAGACTCAGGGGAAAGAAGGGAGGGAGGACAGGAAGGTAGAAGGACAGGTCTCTGGATGCATAATTCCCGAGCCACTGGGGGCTGGGGGGGAAGATTCCCCAGCGCCCCACCGCCCGCGTGGCGTTAGCTCGTCACGTAGTGTTTGGTGGATGGCTGCCCATACACCCTGTAGAAATCCTGGTGGCCAGGCTGCTGGGAGGCGTCGAGCCAGTCTCTGACGGCCAGGCCAGGAAGGGACTGGGGGACGGAGGGTGCAGGTGGGAGCGGGTGCGAGTACTCCTGCGAGGGCACTGTCCAGGGAAAATGGCCGGAGCGGGGGTAGGGCTGGTGGCCACCATGGTTGGCCACGGAAGAACAGTAACAGTTGTCCACGGAACAGACGAGAATCTTGCGGCCGCCATACTGGGGGAGCATGGGCTGCTGGGCGGCGGAGCCATTGGGATACTGCGATGGGGGGAACACAGGACTTGAGTGCACTGGTTGGGCGCCGCCTGGCAGGGCCACCAAGTGCTGCGTGGAGCTGCAGGGCCCCAGGGGCTGCCCTGACTGGCCCTCGCCGCTGGCTGTGCCCGCTGCCCCATACTGGCTGCCCACAGGGCCCGACGATGTCTCTAGGAAGCTGGCCTCAGGGAAGGCCATTGAGTGCTTGCGCTTTTCCGCCCCAGAGCTGCTCACGCCACAAGGGTACAGGGGGACGCTTTGCAGGAAGGGCACCGGTGTGCTGAAGGGGCCTGTGGAGAGGTTGGGACAAAAGACAATGAAGTTCACATCGTCCTCACCCCTGGGGACCTTTCTCATCTACAGGACCAAGCACACTATGTCAGCATCACCTTGGTTGGTGCTCACTACTCCATTAGCAAGTAGATACTCTTATTATTCCCATTTTACAGTTGGAGAAACTGAGGCTCAGGGAGGTAATATGGCTTGCCCAAAGTTCCACAGCTAGAAGTGGCAAAGCCAGGACATGAAGGAAGGTCCACCTAACTAGGCCATGCTGCCTCTCAGAGGGAAGGCTCTGGCATACACCCCTGCCCAAAGGGCTCTCTCCCTTCCATTGAAGACCCCACCCTCACCTTCTAGCATCTTCCGCAGCTGCTTCTCCTTCTTGGCCACCTCGTTCAGGAAGAGCTTGGAGTTCAGGTGGCCGATCTTAGGGGGAGAAAGGCTGTTGCCCGTGCAGGTCTGGGTCCTGGGGGCAGTGGACGGGGCATCTGCTGTGAGGAGGTACCACCGGTGAGCCCGCCCTACCTCCCGCCGTGGGCCTGACCCCCCCAAGACGTGTTCCCCGGAGAGCTAGGCGCCTCCTGCTCACCTGTCCATGAGGATTTTCACAGATTTGGTGTTCTAGGGAGAGAGAAAAGGTTTAGTCAGTGGAAAAGGCAGCATGGGAGAGGGAAAGACAAGAACGGCCCCATCCTCACCCTCCCCAGCCAGGGCAGACCTTGGCTACGGAGTGGCCGGAGGGTGGTGGGATAGTGGTGGCATCTGGTTTTTTAGAAAATAAAAATAGCTAACGTTTATTGAGCACTTAGTATGTGACAGACAATATTGCACATGTTTCTTATACATCCATCATTTTATCCACACAACTACCCCAGAAGGAAGGTTTGCAGGCACTCAATCCTCTTATTTGAAATCTTTGGGGCCAGATGTGGAATTATTTGGATTTCAGAAGGGAAATATAGTGCCTGTACCATATATTATATATCACCCCCCAGTAGGAACCACAGTTCAATACATCAACGTTCCTATAGCAAAATGTTTGAATATGTGTACTAGGTGAGATAAATAAGGACCATACATTGCCAACATCAGTTCAGCTCAATTTTTGCAGTTAAATGAGTTGCCAGAAGTTTTTCTTTGAGTATGCAGAGATTACTAAAATTTGGAATTGAGGATAAAGGACAATAGATCTGTAATATCAACCTCATTTAATAGGTGAGGGAACTGAGGTATAAGGAACATTAGAGCACTTGCCCAAGGTCACAAATCTAGGACAGGGTGGCTCCAAAGCCCTGTGGGCACACTGGTGGGGGAAACTGATTGGGAAATAAGAATCGCAGACTTGCCCAGCCAGTGTGGCTCAGTGGTTGAGTGTTAACCCATGAATTAAGAAGTCGCTTGTTCGATTCCTGGTCAGGGCACATGCCTGGGTTGCAGGCTTGATCCCCAGTGGGAAGTATGCAGGGGGCAAATAATCAATGTTTCTCTCTCTTTATCCTTCTCCCTTCCTCTCTAAAATCAATTAAAAACAAAACAAACAAAAAAAACCAATTTTTTTTTTTTTTTAAAAGCAAACATGTTTTTTAAAAAAAGAATTGCAGACTCCACTTTAGGAATGCCCCTGGGTCCCACCACCAGTCCTGGGCCCAGCCCACCTTCATGAAGCTGACATCCTCTGTCTTGTCGAAGAGCAGCTGCAGGGAGCCCAGCAGCTTCTTGGCCTCCTGCATGCGTTCCCCAAGGTGCAGCGCCTGCGCTGCGTTCTCGCTGCAGAACTTGGCCTGGGCCTTGTCCAGAACCTCCACTGTCTGCCCCAGGTCCTCATCCAGCAGCTGGTGCAGTTTCTCATACTGCAGCCGCACTTCTTCCTTCAGTTGGCTCACCTTCTCCTGCAGGCACAGGAGGCAAGGGTGGGCAGGCAGGTGAGCACTGGGGACCACTGGCTGCCGCTTCTGCCTGTCTGATGTCCTGGATGGTAGAGTCTGGGACCCCAAACCCCCAGACTGCCCAGGGTTCCTCAGGGCAAGGTTTGACCGGCTGGTAGCACAGGGCTCTGTGCCAGCTACCCCTGTAGGGCTCAGCAACGGACAGTTCAGGGAATGGCTGACCAAAGGGTTCTGGCACAGAGCCGACCACACACAGATCCTCACCCAAATAAGGACGAGCCCAAGGCCCTGCACCCAAGCAGCCCCCACCCCAACCACGAACTTGGGCTTAGCTACCTCCACCAGGCGCTTGTCTGACTCGAGTTTGTACAGCTGGTCCTCAATGTCCTGCTCCCGCTCCTCCAGTCGGTCCTGCTGCTTCATCAGCATCTTCTGCAGGGACAGTGGAGGCAGGGGCATCAGAAGGGGCTGCAGCTCCACCCCTTACCAAGGATGGGTGAGCACCAACCTCCCCTCTATAGAACAGACGCATCCTGTAGATCCTTTGACCCAGGTGACCTGAAATTTCTGCCATCCAACCTCTCTGTCCCTCGTGCAATCCCAGGGGCCTGGTTGGTGACCTCTGTGTGGCCAGTCTGTCCCCAGGAAAAGAAAGCCTGGGGTAGCTTCTCACACATATCTGCACCATGAGCTTTCTGAGGGCAGGGGCAGGCCAGTCTTGGTTCTAAGCACCCGTCCCCCACCTCAGATGAACCTTATCATTCCAGTAATGCTATGAGATAAGTACTATTATTATCCTCATTTCAGGGAAGAGGAAACCAGAGAGGTTAAGTAATTTATCCAAAGTACACAGTAAGTGGCAGAGCTGAGATACAAACTTGGGATCTGGCAGTAAGGTCTGTTCTTTTTATAAAATCTAACTAATTAATTAATTAATTTTTAAAAGAATAGTTTATTGATTTTGAGAGAGAGAGGAAGGGAGAAGAAACATTGCTGTGAAAGAGTAACATTGATGGGCTGCCTCCTGTATGCTCCCCACAGGGGATCCGGCCCACCACCCAAGCATGTGCCCTGAACAGGAATAGAACCAGGAATCCAGTGCCCAGCTGATGCCCAACCAACTGAGCCACACCAGCCAGGGCTATTTTTTTTATGCTCATTCGAGTACATGCTTAGAGAGAAGAAAGGAGAAGAAGGGAAAAAGGGAGGGAGGCCATGCTGCCTAACTCAGGGAAGGAGGGAAGGAGAGAGAGGAACTGGGGATCAAACCCATATCCCAGGTATGTGCCCTGACCAGGAATCGAAACAGCAAATCCTTTGGTGCACTAGACGACACTCAACCAACTGAGCTACTCCGACAGGCAGTAAGGTCTGTTCTTATCCAAGGCGTGCTGCCTCTCTCGGGGAGCCCTAGCTTAGAGATGAGTACCCTAAGGTGCAGAGGGTCAAACAACCTTACACTTGGGAGCAGCAAGCCAGCCACCCCAACCCTTGTTCTTGACCCTGAGAGCCAGGCCTTTGAAGTCCTTGCTAACTGCCTCAGCCCCTCAGTTGGACCCAGGTGGAAAGGAGACACTGGCTCTCCTAAAATCTGAGGCCAGTCTGCTGGAAGGTGCTGGACCAAGCTACTATTTCAGCCCTTCACATCCTATCTCTACAACCCCTATCCTCCCAGCCTTGCCCATCCCAGCTGCTCCATCCATCCTGTCATCCCCTCACCAGCATACCTCTTCAAATAGGGTCTTGCTCCTGCTCAAGAACCCTCAATGACTCCCTCCTTCCAAACATTTTAGCACGGTAATGAAGACCTGATGGTATCCTGCCCCTAACACTCTGCACATTTGAACTCCCTGCACCCTGTTGATGGTTTTCTGCAGTCCACAGTGCCTCTTCCCTCTCCTTCTCTATCCTTCAAGACCCCACTCCTCTAGGAAACTTCTCATGGCCCCTGCTCAGCGTTTATGCAGGTCTCTCCCAGTCCTGCCCATGCAAAGGGGTTGTCACATTCTGCCTGCCCTCTATAGCTCTGCTGTGTAATATGGTGGCCACTAATCACATGTGACTATTTAAATTTAATTAAAAATATGTGAAATTAAACATCAGTTCTTCAGTTGCACCAGCTTCAGTTTAAGTGCTCAATAGCTGCATGTAGCTACTGGCTAATGTACTGAATATTAAAGAGACAACACAGCCATCATCCCAGAAAGATCTATAGGATACATTATTCTGTAATTTGTTTCATAAACTGTGGTTTGATCTCCCTACAAAACTCAAGGCCTCTTGAAAATAGGGCTTTGCTGCTATCTTTTTTCACCTCCCTTCCGAGCCAGGCCACACAAAGGCCCCAGCACCCTATGGATGCATAATATGTTTACTGAATAAACCCATGGGTTTTACACATAAAATAAGGTTTGCAAAGCGAAATGCACAGAGCCTTGCTCACAGTGAGTGTATACTCAACAAGGAATGATTCTTTCTCTTCCTCTCCGTGGGCCTCAGAGTGACCCTCAAGTTTGTGGCCATGACTCCCACTCCCATCCACACCCAGCTGGCTTCCCAACCTGCCACCAAGCCCTTCCTCACTCCCCAACCCATTTTACTTGGGAGGAAAGCAAGGCCAGTAAGGCGTTCAGGGACCCCCTTTTGTATTGGTGGCTAAACAAAACACCAGGACCCTGAGAGGAGGCTCTTAGCTAAGCTGGGAAGCCTGGGACAATCGCCCCGAAAAACTTAACCCTTCAATGACCCAGGACAGGCCTCTAAGAACCAGCCCTAGGAGACCTTGCCCTGCCCCCAGCACTTGCCCTTCCAGCAAGCTCCCCACACCAGCCCAACACGCACAGGTATCTGTTGCCAATCTGGGATTCAGCACCTGTTCAGAAACACGGCTGGGTGGGGGGCAGGAATAGAGGTAGGTAGTCATGGATCCTCCCCACCTGTGAAACGGCCCACAGTTGTGCGAAGAGGGCAGGCAGCACCTCACAGTATGGCCCAGGTACATGCAAACAACCGCACACACACCAGCACACATACTGCTCTGGGGCCCTGCGAATACCTCATGCAAAGTGTTGTACCAGGAGCACAGGTACTGGCATCCAACCCCCTTCGGGTGAAGGCTGGATTTCCTGAAGACCCCAGACAATTGAGGGAGGCTTGCCATAAAGGCAAGGTGGCCAGGACACCCTCTTAGGAACATGATGCCTTTTACCTCCCTGTAGCAACTGGCCCTCAGATTTTTGCCTGCTGGATACCTGTACCCACACTTAGGATGACAGCCCCCTCAACCCCCCATGCATCTCAGACTTCAGGCCACTCTTGCCTTCCCAGTGCCCTGCATAACTGAAAGCCCAGATCCCATGCGCCACACCCCCATCACTAAGGACTCCCTGCTCAAACTCATCATCATCTGATTAGGGGTGCACCTGGGGCTGAGTCCCAAATGAGGGGTGGAAAAGGGGGGCCTCAGGTGGGTTCCCAGCCCAATTTCCCTCAGAGGATAGGAATGGAGCTGCTCTGCTCCCACCCTCCAGACCAGTGGGAGGCCCCTCCCTTGCCCCCCTGAAACCTTTTCTGGGAGTTCATGGCTGACCCCTCAGGGCAGAGCCAAGGGAGGTACCTCCTGTCCAGTCCTGGGGGGACTCAGCCCTTTCTCTCTTCTCATAGGCTTTTCTCAGAGCCTTTCCTAGCAGCACTTCTACCCTGGGACCCTGCAGCATCTTCTCTTAGCTTCACCTGTCCCAGGTCCTGGTTCCTGCCCGCCCACAGCCCTCTGAAGTGGGAGCCCAGGCCAGGCCCAGTAAAGGCAGTGCCACACCCCCTAGTAGGTGGCTGGGTTTTTCATTTCCCCTCCCCCAGCTCAGAGGCCCTTGGGCTTCTGTCTTTGCTGCAGGGGTAGGGGAGGGGGTCCATGCTGGCCAGCTTACCTCTGCAGGGGGTGCCAGGTGATCTTAATCCTGCCACAGGTAACACCTGGGGGGATGCAGAGGGTTGGGGGACTACTGCCACCTCAGGCACTGGGAAATTGGGGAGACTTGCTGCCCCTTCATTACCTCTCATCTCCGTTATACCAAATGCCTGAATCAGGTTGCTGAGAAGCTGGAGGATGGGGAACAGAGGAAGCAAGGCCTGGACCCCTCTCCACTACCACCAGCCTCCTTTCCATCTCAACCTCCAGGGAATTGCTGAGACCTGAGGCCCCATCGCCCACCTGGGAAAAAGCCACAGCTGAGATCATCCCACCTTGATTCAGAGCAAGGGCTCTCCATGTGGGGTGGAGGGCGCTTTATAAACGGCTCCCAGCCCACAGTAAGTCACCTGGACTGTGGCACAACTCAAGTGTGCAGGAGGGGAGTGGAAAGGAGCAAAGTGGGGAACCATGGTCTAGACTAGAAGCACTTGAGGAACCAGGCCTCCTCCAGCAGGAGTGACAATATGAGCCCCAGCCCTGCTCCACAGGCTCTGGTCCAGATGGGACCTGCTCACTCCTGTCCCTGTCCCTGAGGGCCTCAGGCCTTCCATGATCTGCTCCTGAATCTGTGAGGGCAAAAGCATCAAGAAGGCTTGAGAGCACTTCATTCCCATTTCTCCAAGGCCCCAGAACATCCTGCTTCTCACGCTTGTCACCTAGTGGAGGGGGGTATGAGGAAGCAGTGATCAGGGGAGGAGGGGCAATCACAAGCCCCTTACACCCCTGCCCTGGGAAAGCCTCATGTCCCTGTAGAGCCTGTCTGGCCAGGCCCAACTGGCATTTTTGGTGTCAGACTGGACTGGGCAGACGGGTGAGGCCATGGGGACTCTAGGCTGTATAAAAGTTAATAAATAATAATAAAACCCACAAGTCAACCTTGAAGAGAAGCAAGGTCAGGAGGGAACAGGGCCTCAGGGGCCGGGCCAGAAGCAGGCCTGAGGTTTTCAGACAAAGCCAGGGCTGGGTCCAACAGCCCCGGTGGTGGGAGGGTGAGGGCAGAAAGAGGGAGCTAAGCCACTCAGACCCCTGCCCAGATGACTCTCATGCTGGCTTCAGCTCTGGCTGTAACCCCTGCTCCAGAGCTACCCTATCCTGACCTCCTCCCCAGCTGCCAAACCTACTCCCCACTCTCCCACTGAAGACCTCATCCCAGGAATACGTCAGCCTCCTCTCTGCCTGGGCCACAGCGCTCTCCCCTTGTCTCAGAGCAGCTTCTGCCTGCCATAGATGCCCCTTTCCTGCCTCAGCTCCTGCCTTGGGCTACCTTGTGCATCCCCAGGCTGGGGCAACCACAGACCCAGAGAGAAGAGGTTACAGGGCAGAAGCCAGGGCAAGAAGAAAGGCAGCACCTGGGAGGCAGGCCCCGGCAGACCCCAGAGAGGGCTTCCCAGCTGCAGAGTCAAATTAGCTTTTGCCATGCAGAGAGCAGCGCTCTGGGGCAGCGGAACAAAGAGGCGAGAGAGAAAGCCCCCCTTTGTCTGGGTTTGAATGCCAGGCCAGCCGGGAAGGAAGGCTTTTCCAGAGCCAGGGATGAGGCTGCCTGCTCGATCCAGGCTAGGGGCCCCAACCAGGCTCACCTTCTTCCTGTGCCCACCCTGACTGCCCCCAATACAGCATCGCAGGATCCATCCAGGCTGCTACCTCTGATACTGCCACTAGCAATAAGCTCACCCTAAAGTGAATCCCATCTCCCCCTTCCCTCCCCAGTTCCCACCCCACCAGGTGAGAAAAGTCGCACAAGCCTCACAACCACCAACCACAGCCTGAGCAGGCAGTCACGCTAGCAGTCATGCTGACAGTCATGCACACACACTCAACTTCACCTCGCAGGTGTGCGGCATGCTTGTTCTCTCACTAACACACACACACACACACACACACAC